GGTTCCTTCGGTAAAGTCACGTAGAAGGGAAGTAATAAAATAATAAAAATAAAACATAATAAAATAAAATAATATAATTCTCACGACGTTTCGGCTACAACGCAAGCAGCCGTCTTCAAGATAAACAAAACGTGTTTGGGGCAGGAGGCACTAGGGAGTACCGTTGTACATAATTCGGAATATTGGACAATTCAGCAAGACCAGATCCCCATTTGTGTCGAATTAACAAGGGTCTACTGTGCATCAACTCTGGACTTCATTTTACAGCAAGGGATCTATTCGAGCCGGCCACCAGACTGCGTGCTTTCATTTTATTTCAGCAGCCAGCAAACACCACATCCAGTATACCCTCTTTGCGCCGGCACCTCGACTGCTCGTGCCGTGTCACACGTGACCACTTGCTCCACGCTCTACCAGCTTGGCCAGGACAAAAAATATTCAGTGAGAAGTGAAGCACCTTGGACATTCGTTCATACGCATAATTCCTGGTGCGTCTGTAACAAAAAGAGCTTCATAGCTCATCGGGTTTCGTGCAGTGTGAATAAATATTCAGATTCTGAATTAACCGATTGCACGCGCAAAAATAATGACTCGAATATTAAACGTGGTTTAGACTCGGATTTTTCTATCGTCCTTTATTAATCCATTGCTGGATGAAAAAATCCCAAAGCCGTATCGACGGCCATACTTCACTCCTGCACGTAAGGTGGTCTTCGTCGCTCCGTCTCCACTGCGGTTGTCCCCTCGGACGCAATCCCTCCCTTTGGCTGCAGTTCTGTCACCAGGCCCGTCCGTCGGCCGTCATCGCCTTCTCGTTTAACCCCCAGAGTCTTCTGTTTATTATTGCAACATTTTTTGTATCCGATTTTTAATTCCCAAAAATCAATTGTTACGCGATGGCTCATTGGTTTCACTCGGGAGGGCTGGCTCAGAGCTTCTCGAAGGCTCACACTCAACAAACATCACAATCTGAATATTTATATTGATCCTGGAGAAATCGTGACGAGCAACGAAGCTTTTTAAATCCTTTATATTAAGTTCGCTCGCTTGCTTGCGTGCTTGCTTGCTTGCTTACGACCGTGCAAATCTTTCGGTCGTTTTTTAACCCACTTCCCGTGATCCAATCGAGCTGACATTTTGCACACAAACTCGTTGTGCGTGACAATTTATTTTCGTGAAAAATGTTTTCCTAAATTTTCCACTTTTTAGGAAAAACAAAATTTCATATTTAATTTAAAATACCAATGTGATAAAAATGAAACTCTTACTCAAGAAAAACAGAAATGAATAATAAAATAAAACCGATGCCACGCATATAAAGGATTTATAGTGAAAAACTTTGTTTTTACGGGTTAATTATTTCCTCCTTGCAGATGTCCAGCACACGGATCATCGCCCGTTACCAGTGAACCAAGATACTGTAAAGTCGCTACGGATGGGCAAAGTCCAACGCGACCGGGTTATTGGTGGAGACTGCAAAGGTGCAGCACCTGCAATTGCCCGCTCACCGCCACTGCTGGCGGAGAGAAGGGGGTCCCCTCCGCCTCCTCTTAAGCGGGAGACGCGGCGACTCCGTCGAGCGGCCGGTGGTGAAAATTGAGCGATTTGTCGCTACACTGGAGTCAGCAGGCGTGACCTTCAAAATTAACAGCCTTGACTTTCAAGCGGCATCCTAAAAATACACGTACAGTGTATATACGTATACATACTTAAGGCATATTGATAACGGGAACAATTCCAGATCTTAACATTTGGATGCAGGCCCAAAGTAGGAGCTCCAGCACCACGATGTACTGCGGAATGAAGGAGAGTCTTTGATCAAAACGCATCGCTTCAATCTGATAATTACTTAGGGAATGTCCGTCGGAAATACGGGCAGGGCACGGCACGGAGAGCAGAGGGAACGATGGCCGATGAATGAGATCGGTGATGAGTGGGAGCCACAGGAGAGGGGGGGGGGGCGCGAGATGCACTGCATAGACTCACATAGAGACCCACAGACTCACATAGAGACCCATAGACTCACATAGAGACCCACAGACTCACATAGAGACCCACAGACGCACAGAGAGACCCACAGACTCACAGAGACCCATAGAATCACATTGAGACCCATAGACTTACAGAGACCCATAGACTCACATAGAGACGCAGACTCGCATAGAGACCCACAGACGCACAGAGAGACCCATAGACTCACACAGAGACCCATAGACTCGCATAAAGACCCACAAACTCACATAGAGACCCACAGACGCACAGAGAGACCCATAGACTCACACAGAGACCCATAGACTCACATAGAGACCCATAGACTCACACAGAGACCCATAGACTCACACAGAGACCCATAGACTCACATAGAGACCCACAAACTCACATAGAGACCCACAGACGCACAGAGAGACCCATAGACTCACACAGAGACCCATAGACTCACATAGAGACCCATAGACTCGCATAGAGACCCACAGACTTACAGAGAGACCCACAGACTCACATATAGACCCATAGACTCACATAGAGACCCACAGACTCACATAGAGACCCACAGACTCACATATAGACCTATAAACACACCTAGAGATCCATAGACTCGCATAAAGACACATAGAGATACACTCACATAGAGACCCATAGACTCACACAGAGACCCATAGACTCGCATAGAGACACATAGAGATACATACTCACATAGAGACCCATAGACTCACATAGAGACCCATAGACTAACACAGAGACCAACAGACTCACATAGAGACACATAGAGACCCACAGACTCACGTAGAGACCCATAGACTCACAGTGACCCATATACTCGCACATAGACCCATAAACACACCTAGATATCCATAGCCTCGCATAGAGATCCATAAACTCACATAGACTTACACAGAGATCCATAGACTCGCATAGAGATACATAGACACACATAGAGATCCATAGACTCACAGTGACCCATAAACTCACACATAGACCCATAAACACACCTAGAGATCCATAGACTCGCGTTGAGACCCATAAACTCATAGACTCACATAGATACCCATAGACCTCACACAGAGATCCATAGACTCGCATAGAGACACATAGAGATACATAGACTCACATAGAGACCTATATACTCACACAGAACAGCGTATCACCACCTTACTATCACCCCAAGCACCACTCAAATAAAACCCACCAGACACTCAACAAAAAATACCCGTCATGATACCACGAGCAACACCACTACAATCTGAATCTACAACTACCACCACCACTATCATCAATAGCTCGTCCATCAACATCACCACCACCACCACCACTATCATCAATACCCCGACCATCAACATCACCACAACCACCACAACTACCTCTGCAAACATCACCAGCGCCATCGTTACCCTGAACATCACCACCACAATAATCTTCATCACCACCACAACTACCCTACCATTACCACCTCTAAGACCAGGGGTCGGCAACCAAAATAACAAGAAGAGCCATTTCTTTCCAATTCGGTACAAAATTCAGTATTTCAAGAGCCGCAATGTATCTATGTACATACGTACATATCGTGAAGAAGCAGCCCGTAAAGAGCCGCATGCGGCTCCGGAGCCGTAGGTTGCCGACCCCTGTCTAAGACCATCAACACGGCCATCACTGCCGACACAACCACCACCGCCATCGGAGGTTCCAGCATCACTCGGTCGCCTCCGCTCACCAATCTGTCGCCACTCACCGTGACCCAGGCCACACTACTGTCACCTCACCCACACACACACGCACCTCACCACCACCCCACACTGCTGTCACCAAAGACAAAGATCCCCCGTATAGCCTTTAACAGACCGTTGGAGGTGCACGCACTGTTTGCACCAATGAAGGCAGGCGCAGCGCTTGCACGAGATTGGGGAATGGTTCCGATCCCGACCCTGACGTCTGCTGGTGTATATTTGGAGTTTGCGTCTCTCTCTCTCTCATCATTATCACGGTGGCTAGGAGATGTTAACTACCTCGCCTGGTATACAGGAGATCGTGGGTTCGATCCCGACACTGACGCCTGTTGTATATTTGGAGTTTGCGGTGTCTCTCTCCCTCTCTCATCATCATCACGGTGGCTAGGAGATGTTAACTACCTCGCCTGGTATACAGGTGGTCGTGAGTTCGATCCCGACACTGATGCTTGTTGTATATTTGGAGTTTGCGTCTCTCTCTCTCATCATCATCACGGTTGCCAGGAGATGTAAACTACCTCGCTTGGTATACAGGAGATCGTGGGTTCGATTCCGACCCTGACGCTTGTGGTATATTTGGAGTTTGCGTCTCGCTCTCTCATCATCATCATCACGGTGGCTAGGAGATGTTTAATACCTCGCCTGGTATACAGGAGGTTGTGGGTTCGATCCCGACCCTAACGCCGCATTTAGAATCAACACTACGCGTTTAGGTATTTCACTGCTGTACATTTCCACGCGATGACGATGCCGATAAGCCACCAACTTCGTTTGCGATGACCAGTTCGCTTCTGAAAAGGAGCTGGTAAATAAAAAAAATGCTTTCGTTTTTAGAGATGGGGAGATCGGGGTGGGTGGGTGGGTGGGAAGATCGGGGGGGGGGGTGGTGGGGAGATCGGGGGGTGGGTGGGGGAGATCGGGGGGGGGTGGGTGGGGGAGATCGGGGGGGTGGGTGGGTGGGGGAGATCGGGGGGGTGGGTGGGTGGGGGAGATCGGGGGGGGGTGGGTGGGGGAGATCGGGGGGGTGGGTGGGGGAGATCGGGGGGTGGGTGGGGGAGATCGGGGGGTGGGTGGGGGAGATCGGGGGGGGGGTGGGTGGGGGAGATCGGGGGGGGGGGTGGGTGGGGGAGATCGGGGGGGGGGGTGGGTGGGGGAGATCGGGGGGGGGGGGGTTGCTGGGTCGGGTGGATGAATGTATGGCTCTGTGTCCAGAACAGCCACCCCTGCGCCCGTCCGCATTTGTCTCCCCACCCACCCAAATAAAACCAAAAACCTCACCGTAACGGAGGCCACGTTGCCGTCGGCCAGCACGATGTGGTGCGCCTCCCAGCGGCGCAACAGCCTCAAGCCGAGCCCGTGGCGCACGACCGCGGAGCGCGCGTGTCGGATGGCGCACACCTGCACGTCGCCCTCGTGCAGCAGCTTGAAGCGAGAGCCCGAAGCGGCACACTTCCATCGCTTCCCGCTCGGAGCTCCTCCGACATCCCCCACCTCCATGGGGGGCGGAGATCGGTGGGGGGGTGGTGGGGGCGGAAAAAGAGGGGGGGGTCGCGGCCCCCCTCCTCCCACCCCTCCCTGGCTAGGGGGTGGGGTGGAGTGGCTGTGGGGGGTGGTGTTGGTGGAGGTTGAAGTGGGTCGCGTCTTCTCTCTCCGGCAGCCGTTTGCTTGCGCCGAGGGTTGCGGCGGAGGCGACGTGGGTCGATTTGGTTGGCTGTGCTGTGTGCGGAGACCTTCTTTCGCACCGTACGTGTCCGACCGTGCTAATGGGAGGGTGGGGGGTTTCTGGTGTTGGTGGCGGGACGGGTTACCCACGCCACCCGGCTCGGAGACGGTGAATCCGAGGTCCCCAGATCTTCACTCGCCGTCGACGATGCTCCTTCCCGACTCTGGGTCGGGATCGCTTTTCCCCGTTTTTTCGTGTCCGTTCGACTCCACGATTTTTGGAGTTCGTCCTCTTTAATATTTAATCCCGATGTTGGCTTCGATTCTGGGCCACACGCGCTCACACACACAACTCTCTCTGATCCGGATCGGATCGTTCTTCAGCTTTGGCCCGCAATGGGTTTGTTTTTTAAAATATCACTCCGATATCAAATCCGATTTCAAGTCCCGGTTTATCTCGCCGTGTTCCGCGTGTCCCTCCTCCGCTGTTCCTTCTTCTTGGCTTCCAGCACCAAGACCCGAAGTGAATCCCAGCACAACCACCACCACCACGACCACTTCTTCTTACGGCTGCTTGACAAACCACCTCAACTACCACCACCGCCTCCTCCTCCTCCAACGCGTCGTTCCACCGAGAACCCGGGCAGCGACGTGGTCGAGGCTGCGGGATGGGACAGGCGAGAAGGCATGACGATGATGATGATGGGTGATGATGATGGTGGTGTTGATGTTCATGATGATGATGGTGGTGTTGATGTTCATGATATAATGAGATGAACAGAGAATAAATGGGGAGATCGTGATCATGGCGAGAGGTGTTGATTAAATATGACGAAGATGGATAAATTAATGATGATGATGAGTTAATTATCAGACGAGGATAACGATGAGATGAAGAGAGGAAACGTTACGAATATGGTGGTGAGAGATGAACGTAGGAGGGGCGTGATGGTGATGATAAATAATCAAAGATGTAGACACAGAGAGGGGCAGATGATGATGGAAGATGTTAAGAGATGAACAGAGAATCCGATGGATATGATGAGAGATGAAAACGGATACTTTGATGGTGGCCATCATGATGACGAAACGCGAATCGAGAAGATTATCGCGACGAGATATGTGGACGTGAGACGGACTAATCGTTGACACGCACAGAGGAAGAGTCTACGACGACAGTGATGACAACGCATCAACCATCACGGACTACGCCAGATGACATGGAACGTACACACGCTTCAACAACAACAAAAACGACTGAAGCTTACCTCCCTTATGCTTCGTTGTGGGTTTGCCCGCTGCTGCCGCTGCTACTGCTGCCTTGAGGTGGTGGTGGTGATGGTAGGTGTGTGTGTGTGTGGGGGGGCGGTAGGGCTCGCAGCGTCAATCTTAGCAGAAGCGACGTTTCGTATCCCGATTAACGGATGTCTCCGTCGTCTCTCTGCGAACGCCGGTCCTCCTCCTCCTGCACCACCAGCACCACCACCAGCACCACCACTACCAGCACCACGATCTCAGCACAGACGACGCCGCTCGCCTCAATGAAGATTCGACGGAGATAAAAAAAAAAATCGCTGATCCGTGCCGATGCTGCTGCTGCTGATGGTTATTGCTGCTTGCGACGCGACAACAAGGCAAACGGTTCGGAAGGTGAAGGCGCGGCAGGGGCAACAACAACAATAACAACAACAAAGGGGGGGGGGGGTGAGAAGCTTGAAGCTCTCCCCGACAGCGCAGGAACAAGAGCGGGCGGGCTTGTGGCGAGCGCGGGGCGCGGAGTGGAGGGAGAGCGAGCGGGAGAGGAGGGAGGGGAGGGACGGAGGAGAGGGGAGTGGGAGAGGAGGGAGGGGAGGGACGGAGGAGAGGGGAGTGGGAGAGGAAGGGGGGAGAGGGGAGGGAGGGGGGAGGGAGGGGAGGGGGAAGGGAGGGGGGAGAGGGGAGGGAGGGGGGAGGGAGGGGGGGAGGATAAACTCTTGACCAGCGGCGGTGACGTCAAACGGGGAGCTGGGGGTGCTGGCGTTCGCGAGTGCGTGGGTGGGGTGGTGGTGGTGGGGAGTGCAAATGAGAGGCGCGTGTGTGTGTGTAGGGGTTGGGGTGTGTGTGTGTGTAGGGGCTGGGGTGTGTGTGTGTAGGGGTTGGGGTGTGTGTGTGTAGGGGTTGGGGTGTGTGTGTGTGTGTAGGGGTTGGGGTGTGTGTGTGTGTAGGAGTTGGGGTGTGTGTAGGAGTTGGGGTGTGTGTGTAGGGGTTGGTGTGTGTGTGTAGGGGTTGGGGTGTGTGTGTAGGGGTTGGTGTGTGTGTGTAGGGGTTGTGGTGTGTGTGTAGGAGTTGGGGTGTGTGTGTGTGTAGGAGTTGGGGTGTGTGTGTGTAGGGGTTGGGGTGTGTGTGTGTGTGTGTAGGAGTTGGGGTGTGTGTGTGTATAGGGGTTGGTGTGTGTGTGTGTGTGTAGGGGTTGGGGTGTGTGTGTAGGGGTTGGGGTGTGTGTAGGGGTTGGTGTGTGTGTGTAGAGGTTAGTGTGTGTGTAGGGGTTGGTGAAGAGAGTGTGTGTGTAGGGGTTGGGTGTGTGTGTAGGGGTTGGGGTGTGTGTAGGGGTTGGTGTGTGTGTGTAGAGGTTAGTGTGTGTGTAGGGGTTGGTGTGTGTGTGTATGTAGGGGTTGGTGTGTGTGTGTATGTAGGGGTTGGTGTGTGTGTGTGTGTAGGAGTTGGTGTGTGTGTGTGTGTAGGGGTTGGGGAGCGTGTGTGTAGGTGTGTGTGTGTAGGTGTGTGTGGGTGTAGGAGTTAGGGTGTGTGTGTGTAGTAGTTGGGTGTGTGTGTGTAGAGGTTGGTGTGTGTGTGTCGGAGTTAGTGTGTGTGTGTAGGGGTTGGGGTGTGTGTAGGGGTTGGGGTGTGTGTGTAGGGGTTGGTGTGTGTGTGTAGGGGTTGGGGTGTGTGTAGGGGTTGGTGTGTGTGTGTAGAGGTTAGTGTGTGTGTGTAGGAGTTGGTGTGTGTGTGTAGGGGTTGGGGTGTGTGTAGGGGTTGGAGTGTGTGTGTAGGGGTTGGTGTGTGTGTGTAGGGGTTTGGGTGTGTGTGTGTAGGAGTTGGGTGTGTGTGTGTAGGGGCTGGGGAGTGTGTGTGTAGGGGTTGGTGTGTGTGTAGGAGTTGGGGTGTGTGTGTGTGTGTGTGTAGGGGTTGGGGTGTGTGTGTGTAGGAGTTGGTGTGTGTGTGTAGGGGTTGGTGTGTGTGTGTGTGTGTGTAGGAGTTGGGGTGTGTGTGTAGGAGTTGGTGTGTGTGTGTAGGGGTTGGTGAAGAGAGTGTGTGTGTAGGGGTTGGTGTGTGTGTGTGTAGGAGTTGGGGTGTGTGTGTGTGTGTGTAGGGGCGTGTGTGTGTGTAGGAGTTGGGGTGTGTGTGTGTGTAGGAGTTGGGGTGTGTGTGTAGGAGTTGGTGTGTGTGTGTGTAGGAGTCGGGGTGTGTGTGTGTAGGAGTTGGGGTGTGTGTGTGTGTAGGGGTTGGTGTGTGTGTGTGTGTGTGTAGGGGTTGGGGTGTGTGTGTGTAGAAGTTGGTGTGTGTGTGTAGGAGTTGGTGTGTGTGTGTGTGTAGGGGTTGGTGTAGAGTGTGTGTGTGTAGGGGTTGGTGTAGAGTGTGTGTGTGTAGGGGTTGGTGTGTGTGTGTAGGAGTTGGTGTGTGTGTGTAGGAGTTGGGGTGCGTGTGTGTAGGAGTTGGTGTGTGTGTGTGTGTGTAGGGGTTGGTGTGTGTGTAGGAGTTGGGGTGTGTGTGTGTAGGGGTTGGGGTGTGTCTGTAAGGGTTGGTGTGTGTGTAGGAGTTGGGGTGTGGGTGTAGGGGTTGGGTGTGCGTGTGTAGGAGTTGGGGTGTATGTGTGTAGGGGTTGGGGTGTATGTGTAGGAGTTGGGGTGTATGTGTGTAGGGGTTGGTGTGTGTGTGTGTGTAGGGGTTGGTGTGTGTGTGTAGGAGTTGGTGTGTGTGTGTAGGGTTGGTGTGTGTGTGTAGGGGTTGGTGTGTGTGTGTGTAGGGGTTGGTGTGTGTGTGTAGGGTTGGTGTGTGTGTGTGTGTAGGAGTTGGGGTGTGTGTGTGTGTAGGGGCTGGGGTGTGTGTGTGTAGGAGTTGGGGTGCGTGTGTGTAGGAGTTGGTGTGTGTGTGTGTGTGTAGGGGTTGGTGTGTGTGTAGGAGTTGGGGTGTGTGTGTGTGTGTGTGTAGGGGTTAGGGTGTGTGTGTGTGTAGGAGTTGGGGTGTGGGTGTAGGGGTTGGGTGTGTGTGTGTAGGGGTTGGGGTGTGTGTGTGTAGGGGTTGGGGTGTGTCTGTAAGGGTTGGTGTGTGTGTGTAGGAGTTGGGGTGTGGGTGTAGGGGTTGGGTGTGCGTGTGTAGGAGTTGGGGTGTATGTGTGTAGGGGTTGGGGTGTATGTGTAGGAGTTGGGGTGTATGTGTGTAGGGGTTGGTGTGTGTGTGTGTGTAGGGGTTGGTGTGTGTGTGTAGGGGTTGGTGTGTGTGTGTAGGAGTTGGTGTGTGTGTAGGGGTTGGTGTGTGTGTGTGTAGGGGTTGGTGTGTGTGTGTAGGGGTTGGTGTGTGTGTGTGTGTAGGAGTTGGGGTGTGTGTGTGTGTAGGGGCTGGGGTGTGTGTGTGTAGGAGTTGGAGTGTGTGTGTGTGTAGGAGTTGGGGTGTGTGTGTAGGAGTTGGTGTGTGTGTGTAGGAGTTGGGGTGTGTGTGTGTGTAGGGGCTGGGGTGTGTGTGTGTAGGAGTTGGAGTGTGTGTGTGTGTAGGAGTTGGGGTGTGTGTGTAGGGGTTGGTGTGTGTGTGTAGGGGTTGGTGTGTGTGTGTGTAGGAGTTGGGGTGTGTGTGTGTGTAGGGGCGTGTGTGTGTGTGTAGGGGTTGGTGTGTGTGTGTAGGAGTTGGTGTGTGTGTGTGTAGGAGTTGGGGTGTGTGTGTGTGTAGGGGCGTGTGTGTGTGTAGGAGTTGGGGTGTGTGTGTGTGTGTAGGAGTTGGTGTGTGTGTGTAGGAGTTGGTGTGTGTGTGTGTGTAGGAGTCGGGGTGTGTGTGTGTAGGAGTTGGGGTGTGTGTGTGTGTAGGGGTTGGTGTGTGTGTGTGTGTGTAGGGGTTGGGGTGTGTGTGTGTAGGGGTTGGAGTGTGTGTGTGTAGAAGTTGGTGTGTGTGTGTAGGAGTTGGTGTGTGTGTGTGTGTGTAGGGGTTGGTGTGTGTGTGTGTGTAGGGGTTGGTGTGTGTGTGTGTGTGTGTAGGGGTTGGTGTGTGTGTGTAGGAGTTGGTGTGTGTGTGTGTGTGTAGGGGTTGGTGTGTGTGTAGGAGTTGGGGTGTGTGTGTAGGGGTTAGGGTGTGTGTGTGTAGGAGTTGGGGTGTGGGTGTAGGGGTTGGGTGTGTGTGTGTAGGGGTTGGGGTGTGTGTGTGTAGGGGTTGGGGTGTGTCTGTAAGGGTTGGTGTGTGTGTGTAGGAGTTGGGGTGTGGGTGTAGGGGTTGGGTGTGCGTGTGTAGGAGTTGTGGTGTATGTGTGTAGGGGTTGGGGTGTATGTGTAGGAGTTGGGGTGTATGTGTGTAGGGGTTGGTGTGTGTGTGTGTGTAGGGGTTGGTGTGTGTATGTAGGAGTTGGTGTGTGTGTGTAGGAGTTGGTGTGTGTGTGTGTAGGGGTTGGTGTGTGTGTGTGTAGGGGTTGGTGTGTGTGTGTAGGGGTTGGTGTGTGTGTGTGTGTAGGAGTTGGGGTGCGTGTGTGTGTGTAGGGGTTGGTGTGTGTGTAGGAGTTGGGGTGTGTGTGTGTGTAGGGGCTGGGGTGTGTGTGTGTAGGAGTTGGAGTGTGTGTGTGTGTAGGAGTTGGGGTGTGTGTGTAGGAGTTGGTGTGTGTGTGTGTGTAGGGGTTGGTGTGTGTGTAGGAGTTGGGGTGTGTGTGTGTAGGGGTTGGGGTGTGTGTGTGTGTAGGAGTTGGGGTGTGGGTGTAGGGGTTGGGGTGTGTGTGTGTAGGGGTTGGGGTGTGTGTGTGTGTGTGTAGGAGTTGGGGTGTGGGTGTAGGGGTTGGGTGTGTGTGTAGGGGTTGGGGTGTGTGTGTGTAGGGGTTGGGGTGTGTGTGTAAGGGTTGGTGTATGTGTGTAGGAGTTGGGGTGTATGTGTGTAGGGGTTGGGGTGTATGTGTAGGAGTTGGGGTGTATGTGTGTAGGAGTTGGTGTGTGTGTGTAGGAGTTGGGGTGTATGTGTGTAGGGGTTGGGGTGTGTGTGTGTAGGGTTGGGGTGTGTGTAGGAGTTGGGGTGTGTGTGTAGGGGTTGGAGTGTGTGTGTGTGTAGGAGTTGGGGTGTGTGTGTGTAGGGTTGGGGTGTGTGTAGGAGTTGGGGTGTGTGTGTAGGGGTTGGGGTGTGTGTGTGTAGGAGTTGGGGTGTATGTGTGTAGGGTTGGAGTGTGTGTAGGAGTTGGGGTGTGTGTGTAGGGGTTGGAGTGTGTGTGTGTGTAGGAGTTGGGGTGTGTGTGTGTAGGCGTTGGGGTGTAACAGCACTTGCCTCGACAGTCTGTTGGGAGGCTACACGGGTGACCTTTGGTGCGATGGGCGTCTTGTGGATGGTGAGCGGTAGTGTAGTAGGTAGTGTAGTAGGTCGTGTAACAGGTAGTGTAGTAGGTAGTGTAGTAGTGTAGTAGGTAGTGTAGTAGTAGTAGTGTAGTAGGTAGTGTAGTAGTGTAGTAGGTAGTGTAGTAGTGTAGTAGGTAGTGTAGCAGGTAGTGTAGTAGGTAGTGTAGTAGTGTAGTAGGTAGTGTAGTAG